ATTTTTTTTTTGTTTCTATAAACACCGTCTATTATTATGTCAATACTCTTTATTTATTTTTTTTTTTATCTAATGAACGTCACAAATTTAAAATCATAAACTTTATTATATATTTGTTAATTGTCATTATTTAAAATAATACATTGGTCTATCAACTATTGTTGTAAGGAATTTGACTAGAATGCATAGGTAGAAAAAGAAAAATTTAGTATTTTAAATAATGACAAAGGGCAAATAGATAATAAAGTTTATGATGAAGAGATGGTTGACCGTGATATAATATGAGAAGGGGTTGTTCGGGGGGTGCGGTCAAATAAATACATATATAAAATATTTGCAATATATATAATATTTTATAAATAAATATTTTTATATATTAAAAATGCTATATTTTAATAATTTAGTATTTATTTGACCGCACCCCGCGACCAACTCCTTCTCATAATAAAGTTTATGATTTTAAATTTGTGACGTTGATTAGAATAAAAATATTGATTGATAAAAAGCAGCGATTATAGATTTTGGGAACTGTAATTTCCTTGACGAGTTCTCGTAAAAGCGGTGGTGTGAACCCTAGTAAAAGGATTCAGATGGTTTAAATTGAGGTAAATCATAGATTTTTTAAACAGTTTATGACAGAAAAACTTTATCCAATGGCTTTATTATTGGTTACTAGACGACGTGGCACGCGACTTTTAAAGGAAGATAACGAACACTTTTACCTTCCAAATCGACAACTACAAGTCACTAACAAGACGTTAATATTGAAGTCCAAAAGTCATGGGAACTGGAGCGCACACGAACAGAAAAGGGTTAATAATAATTATATATACTAAGTTTGAAAAAAATAGACAAAGATTTTTGACAATGATTTCCAGTAGGGGGAGATATTTTATCATAAACAAAAATGAAAAGGAAGATTGTCTCTTTAAACAGACGATCTTGTCTAGTCCGAAACTTAAAAGAATAAATGGAGTTGTTTTTGGACGTTTGAACGATTTTAAATTCCTGAAACACATTGCATAGTTAATTATATTTATTTTTGGTGTATGGGTTGAAGGTAACACCATTCCGCCAGTTAAAAATTGATAATGAAACTAGATTTTGTTGAGAAATGATAGGTGTTGTTTGGATATATATTCAAGAAAGATTTCTGAAGAATGACATATAGTTGCTAGGGAAAGGGGACAATTAGAAGCGCAGAGGTGTCCATTTCTCCGAAGGTCGATGTCGCATTAACCACTCTCTCTTCTTTAGAAATTTTGTTACTCTCCTCTTGTTAAAAACAGAGAAAGCGAGAGTAGAATTAGAAAAATCGCAGATCATATCTAATTACAAATTTTTTTTTTTCGTTCCTCACCATCCTCGCCTTTAAAGCTATATGGAATTTTCCTGGGTCAGGGGGTGATGGCAGGGATTAATGGCAGAATTAAAAGCAGTGATGGGCATATTTATATTTAAAAATATAAATACGAATATCATTTATATTTATGGTACTAATGAATATAAATATGAATATAGTTATATTCATAAAAAGAAATTGAGTACTTGAACACCATCAGTTCTCAAACCACACCCTTAAGATGACCCACATGTTTGGGTTAAAACGTTGACAAAAATAAAAAAAATTAAAAAGACTGCGTCCTGAATATTAAACACCCATCATAAAAAGAAATATGAATACAGAAGGTAGGTATTCACGGCTGTAAATATAAATACGGCCGTATTCACGATTGTAAAAGTAAGTACGGCTGTATTTACACCTGTAAAAGTGAATACTGCAGTATTCACGTTTACTAAAACGAATTCGCTTAAATTTACAAAATTGAATGGAAATATTTTCACACAACCTTATTAATGAATACTCTTATTTATTAAAAAAAAATGTATTTGATAAATTATTTATTTAAAAACATAAATTTGCTATATATATCATTTTATTTTTATATATATATATAGTATTATATTCTTTCTTTTGCAATATGTTTTGTTAATTATCACTTGTAATGTTTGTACGTAATTTAAATTCCCAAGCCTTTGTATTTACACCAGTAAAAGTGAATACGGCAGTATTCACGTTTATTAAAATGAATACGCTTAAATTTACAGAAGTGAATGCAAATATTTTCACGCAATCTTAGTAAAGAATACTCTTATGACATTAAAAAATATATTTTTTAAATTATTTATTTTAAAAAAAATTACTATTTATACCATTTTATTTTGATATATAGCATTATATACTTCGGACATCGCATCCCTCCCTCCCCCTAATAAAAATTCTGAGGAGGTGAGAATATTGGAATTACTTAAAGAGCCGGTACTGTCTTGAAAAAACTTTGAAAATCAAAATCCTTATCCAGGATATAAATATCATCCAGATTACAAGATCCTACTAATCAAACAGACTCAGTTTCGCTATCAACTTCATACATTGTTCTATATGCAAACCTTAACACATTAACAAATATATTCACTTTATACACTGAACAGCAGCTCCGGAAAGGTCACAACAAAATTCAACAAAAAAAAAAAACAATGCTTGAGAATTTATATTCCGTTCAAACATTCCGAGTGATAATTAACATAAAATATAGTAAAACGAAGCATATAATAATATAAATACAAATAAAATAGTATATATAGTAAATATATTTTTTTTTAATAAATAAGATTGTGTAAAATATCTGCATTCACTTCTGTAAATTTAAGCGTATTCATTTTAATAAACGTGAATACTGCCGTATTCACTTTTACAAGTGTAAATACAAAGGCTCAGGAATTTATATTACGTACGAAAATTACGAGTGATAATTAACATAACATCTTGTAAAAGGAAGAATATAATACTATATATAAAAATAAAATGATATGTGTATATATATATATATATATATTATATAATATATAATTATATAAATATATATATATATTTAATGTAATAAGAGTATTCATTAATAAGGTTGTGTGAAAATATTTCCATTCACTTCTGTAAATTTAAGTTTATTCGTTTTAGTAAACGTGAATACTGCCGTATTCACTTTTACAGGTGTAAATACAGCCGTATTCACTTTTACAATCGTGAATACGGCCGTATTTATATTTACAGCCGTAAATACGGCCATATTTATATTTACAGTCGTGAATACGTATGTTCTGTAATCATATTTATTTTTATTAATATAAATATATTCATATTTATATTCATTCATAGCATTAATATAAATGGTATTCGTATTTATATTTTTGAATATAAATATGCCCACTCTGATTAAAAGACTCCCCCAGCAACGGGGATTCTATTTTTATCAATCTAACTGATATATCAGGTTGCCGGGCAACGGCGGTACTGGGTAGTGTTGCTCAAATGCGAGACCGAGACGAGTCTTGGTCTTGCACAAGAGTCTCGCAACAATCTTGCAGTTACTTAATATAGAGATATTACTATAATTTTTTAGATAGGAGAAACCTAACTAAGCCGTAATGAAAAATTAGAGCAGTTAATTGCAAAAGTATGTTGGTTATACCAATTATTAACATATAGTAATTAAGATGGTCAAGTATTAGTAACTATTTTGCCCTAATTTTTATTTAAAAAATCGATTTTCTTTAGCAGCCCTGGTCTTGGTCTTGCAACGGTTGGGCGGACTTGGTCTTGGTCTTGCAAAGTGCAAGATCAAGACCGATTTTTTGCAACACCAGTACTGGGGTGGCCACCACGCTCCCAAAGAATATGAAATATCAGTATTGACCTGGTATCTTCATAATATGATAATAGTACGCTAGCCATTAGTCTATTACTGTCCTTATAAAATTTTTGCAAGCACCTTAACTTTGCTCAACCACTGCGGCCCCAATCCACCCAACCCAACACTTGCTGTGATCTATCCAATGTTTCCCCCTAGTTCTCTGTTTTGAATATTTTCATTCCGAAAATTCATAATCTCGTCGAAATGTCCCCCCCCTCAAAAATTCAAAATCCCCCCCTCATAAATTGTAGTAGCGCTACAAAACCCCGTTCTGAGCACCCCTGTGGAAGGGGTTTCATGGCCCAAGTTGCTCCATCAGAAGTCTTGTGGGCGGCACATTTTTATAGGATCATGAATTTTGGGAAGGGGTTCGATTTGGATGAATTTTTAAAGCAAGGGGCAAGGGAAAAACATGAAATATAAACATCTAGCGAAATTGTATACGATCTATATTTTCAATTCTACTTTCGCTTGTACTTTTTTGAGAAGAGAACAATAAAGTTTCTAGGAATGGAGGAGGGGGGAGCAATAAATTTTATATTACCATTCATTTACTCCAATAACTCCTTTAAATTTACAGTCCTAGCAATAAATTCCGTACCAGCTATTAAGGCATAATTATCATGTTAATATCCCCGGCAGCCGTGGAAGGGATTGGCATGATAAATTAAACAACTGTGATACCGTTGTTGCATTTAGATTCGAGGAATTTTCAACTGGCTTGTTTACAGAGACAATCACTTTATTTTCATGAAAGGGTGCTGCACAATTACATTAGGTTGCTTTGAAAACAGCATACTTATAAATCACTACAGACAATTTTTTAAAACTAATACACAATTATATAGTATTAACAATATATATGAGAATAGTATACAATATTGGGATTGGGGTAGCCTTGCGGGCTAAGGCGCTTGCAATAGGTAATCAAAGTTAATCAACGCCGAGCGTGGCTAGCACTTGGATGGGTGACCGTCCACCAAGGAAAGCCACGCTGCCCGAGATTCCTCCCCTCCCCCCCCCGGGTATGTGAGCCCTGTCAGCCTACTGGAGGCAACTCACACCGACCTGGCGTAGGGTTGATGATCCTACTCCGTACTGTAAATCAGGAATCAGGATGTGGTCTAGGAGATCACAGTCGCGGTCAAAGATCTTCATGGTCTGTAGCGCAAACCAAAAAATAAAAAATAAGGTATACAATATATTTATTTTATTTTTTTAAAATCACTTTTCGTACGGTATTTGTTATAGATGTCAGTCGATTCGTACTCTGAGGAAGCAAAAGCTCTGAAGAAATTGAACCTCGAAAAAGCCACTAACTTCATGAGGCAGTATAGGGACCCTGACAGCAGGGAATTGAAGAAACTCTCAGCTCATCAGTTCATGGAGGTTTGGAGCCATTACGACAAAGATTGTGAGTATTACCTATATTATATCACTGGGTCTTATCAAATTATGAAGAGGTCACCAAACTTTTTGGCACGCGGGCCATGGTTTGTCATTAAAAAAAAAATGGTTGGTTCTTTAAATGTCCCTTCAGTTGTGAAATGAGCTTTCTAAGGTAAACAAGTTTGAAATAATTGTTATAAGTAACCTTGTGTTTGAATGATTTACTAAATTTAATATTATTTAAATAATTGATAAAAATTACTTAAAGAAACATTCGCGGGGCGTGGTTTGGAGACCTCTGAAGTAATGAATTCCGTAGTGAAGTATATTAAAGGAGTAACATTAAATAATTCAGATGATATGACTGCAACGATTTGGCAATGAAATGTACTTAAAGCTTAGCGAAAGCAAATCTAGTCGTCAAAAGTATAGTGTCCTTAAATAATTCTGTTTTAAGACATTTTTGATCTTTTAAAAAAAAAAAGTTTGATAAAGTAAGCGATTTTTTTTTGTATTGTTACGCTGCTGGGAAGGTATAGATCTTCCATTCTAGAGTCATTAAACTAACATTAGTTACTAAACGATGTTTTCAGTTCGATGGATGAACTTTTTAATGGGAATTGTTTTGCGAACTCCTTGATTTTTTAATGACTTATTCTCATAAAAAAAACAAGAAATAAAGACTTTACTTTCATCTAAGTTTTAATTTGGCAGAGATCAACTTTATTTTTATGAGGATGAATTGGTTTGACGACTTACAATTTACAAAAGTGATTAACTCCTTGCTTTTTAATGACTTACTCTCATAAAAAAAACATGAAAAAAAGACTTTACTTTCATCTAAGTTTTAATTTGGCAGAGATCAACTTTATTTGTATGAGGATGAATTGGTTTGACGATTTACAATTTAAAAAAGTGATTAACACAGTACTGTACGTAAAGAAATGTAATATTGCACCTCTGCTAACAGTGTACTTCTCGTTCTAAACCTGAATATTCACTTTTACGGTTCCCTCTATTCGAGTTCCAAACGACTTCACATCTTAAAGAGGAAATTATTTTAACAGATTTTTGGATTAGATTCTACTAATTATAGGTAGGTGTGAAGAGGCGAAGAAATACTTTTCAATAATCTTAGTTCTAAATCTATGCAAATCGACACAAGCGAATCCAGAATTTAATTTTGGATAGCTTCAGCCAGAAAGCTTTTTTTACCTTCCTACCTATACTAGGTAAGGAAAGTATTGCAATCGGGTCAAAGTTCCGAAATGCGGTTTTCGAAGAATCTATACGTTTGAGAGCCCCTGAGTTCGAAAAACACATTTTTTACCATTGGTCTGTCTGTCTGTCTGTCTGAGCCAATATTTTCACGGGAACTAGTGAACCGATTTTGTTGCTTCTTTTTTTATTTTGTAGGGTTTTGACTACTGATGCCTGTAACACAAATTGGATGCTCCATGCGCAATAGCTGCTGCGCAATAAATGAAAAACATGTTTTTTTTATAGACTGTAGCGGGAAAACAGCTCTAACGATTTTGACTACGTAACTTACCTTTTATGTTCTAATAATTCTCCTTTCAATTTTCGTATATGGACTAAATTCCAGAGAAAATTTAGGAAAAAAAGGTATAAAGAAAAGAAAAATGTTTCGGGGCCTAACTCGTTAAGTATATTCTAAAACAAATTTAGTCTGTTTTTTTGAAAGGTGATGAAATTCCCTAAAAACTGTATAAAAATCGTTCATTTCGGATAACTATTAACGAAGCTACAGCTATACAATTTCCAATGTAAGGTTACGGGTTCATATCTTGGTGTCAGAAAAGGGTGAATGAGAGAAAAAAGATTACTAAGTGAAAGAAAGAAAATCTGATGCCCGCATCACACAAGCTTTTTGACAAAATTAGACAAAAAGTTTTGATCAACAATATAAGAGGGTATTGAAATGTTTACACTGATCTACCTTAAGCCGGTTTACATTGCATTAATTTATCGAATGAATCGTATAATTTATCAAATCTTTTCTTTGTTCAATTTTCAGGAATATAAATCTAATGCGATTTCTTTTTGTTTCTTGATGTACATATGTAAAGATATAAAATTTTCTGAAATAGGTAGGAAAGTCGTGTGAGTGGACACACCAGATTTTTTAAATATATATTATGATAATTACTTTGGAAAAAAAAATAAAGAAACTAACTACCGATACTAAACAGTGTTTAATTGATTCGTAAAGTCCAATTAAATGTAATTAGACGAACAATAATACTGTTTTTTTAAAATATTTTTTTTGACAAAAAATGGTTATATTTTACAATTTTGGGGAGGGGCTTCGCCACGAAAGTTTTTTAATGATGAAACTTGTTGTCTGCGATCATTTGCCTTTCTCGCGGAAACTTTAAATAAAGATGGGAAGCTTTTTAGGTTCAGCTATTTAAAAAACTCTTCGCGAGCAAACTCGAACTTGTGAATTCAAAACAACATTACTCTGTCATCTGCCCCACTAATGTCTTCCGTTTGGAATTCAAACAAAATGATAGCAGCGAACCACTTCACCTTAACTATTTTAGTATAGTCTTAGGATTCAAGCGATGACACGGAATGTCTTTATATTTCAAAATATATTTATGGGCGATGACGACCATTACAATTTCTTTCCTATACATACAAATATTTATTTTTTAAGCATTCTCTCACAAAACATAGGCCTGTTTTGTTTCAGTGTTTTGCATTTGGGTCCTATATGGGACGGTTCGGGTGGATGAAAAAAATTGATGGTGTAATGGAGTGTCGGTTTCGTGCAAAATCGGCAATTTTCTATCTAAAATGTAAAAACTGACGTTTCGCATGGATTAGAGACCCGATCGGAGAAGCCCAGATTCAGGGGGAGAAGTTTGTTATAGTTTATAGTTCCTCAGAGGTTTGTCAGATTAATTAACTATTGAGTGGATCATATAAGAATAAATATAGTTATCAAAAGTATTCCGTTTGTTAATACGTATTTATTTTTATTATTGTTATTATTCATAATTGGAGGAACAGACGTGTGTAGCGATCATTGTTCTGCTCGATTGCCTTTTCTCGGTCATGCTTCTAGACTGCGCACCTGATGGATAGTCCAATATTTCTTAAACTCTCTTTAACTTTATCCATCCATCCATCCATTACCTTCGGTCTTCTGATATACCTAATTCCATCTGACTTCCCATGATAAAGCCTCGTTTTCCTAACTTCATCCATTAAGAACATGTCGGAACAATTTCATTCGCTGAACTCGTGCAAATTGAGAGATAGATAGATAGTACATTGAGTACATTGCTTGTTCTCAGATGGGGAACTTCTAGGGAACTCCAGTTTAGGCCCTATTATCAGTCTGAGGATTTTTCTTTCAAACTGATCTGTTCGTACTACCTAGTGTTGCCCAAATGCGAGACCGAGACGAGTCTTTGTCATGGTCTTGGTCTTGCGCAAGAGTCTCGCAACAGTCTTGCAGTTACTTATTAGTTTATTACTATAGAGATATTGCTGTAATTTTTTAGATAGGAGAAACCTAACTAAGCCCGAATGAAAAATTAAAGGAGTTAAATGCAAAAGTATATTGGTTATACGAATTATTAACATATAGTAACTAAAATGGTCAAGTATTAGTAACTATTTTGCCTTAATTTTTATTTAAAAAATCTTTTTTTTTTACCAGTCCTGGTCTTGGTCTTGCAACAGTTAGGTGGCCTTGGTCTTGGTCTTGCACTTCGCCTACTTAGTATGCCTTAGATGCCTTATTCTTTTTACTAACTTATAAACGACAAATTATTTAAAATGGATGTGCTAGTTTTTAGCTCTGATAAACGACGAAAACGAGCTATGTTGAAAACTTAAATGAACCCCATAAAATTTAAATGGGAATAAATAAACGCTCTTATTTACTAATCGATAGGGAAATATGGATATTCCAAAAGGGATATCCATTTTTTTATTTATAATTAATTAAATTGGAGATATAATTCACACTTAACGAGATTAATGCAACAAAAATTGTAACAATAAACAATCCAAAACACTTTTATACCGAAAAAGTTAGCAAATCAATTTTTAAAAATCCGTTACAGCACACTAAGCATTAAATTATAATAATTGGATATTATAAAATGTTTCGATTTTGATTTTGTTTTTGTTCACTATAAAAGAGCGGATCATTACACCTTGAGGAGTAACATTACTTTAAAAATACAACTATCCCCCCCTCCAAAAAAACAACTTTCTGTTTCATAGATAACTTTCATCTAGTGTTACGGAGAAGCCATTCCCCAGTCATTCACTCCATCAGTTTTTGTTTACGTCATCAAAAAATCATTTTAGTTTTGGAGTCGTGTTACCACCCAATTTTTTTTTTTTAATACAAATAAATATGATTTATTATCTATTGAAAAATATTGCAATCTGTCTCAAGGACATTTATAATACTGTTAACAGATCACATTCACACTCTATGTACAATAAATAAAATAAATTATACAAAAAAAAATTATATATATACAATAAATAAAAATAAAATAACATAAAAATAAATAAATAAAAAGAACACATACATACCTATATACAATATACCCAAAATTTAAAGTCTTCCCATTTAAAGTCTTTTAAGATTTTTCAATATTTATTTTTACTATGAAATATAAATACTCTATAACTAGTACAAAATATTTTGTATTAATATAGTTTTTAAATTGACCACGGGTTCTCATAAAATGTCTGTTGAATGTGTGGACCTAAAATCACTTGATTTGCTGCAGTTAAATTCAGCCATTTATATTCTGAGCAGTAGTTTCAATCAAAATTAAAACAAAAAAGAACAAGAAAATGCTGCCAGATAAAATATAAGCAAGCTGACAAAAAAAATTAGAAAAATATTAAGTAGCTTGTCATCGTCATTTCATTAAAAAAAAAAATCGTCATTCAAAAATTTATATTTGTATTCGTTGGGTTATTTTATGAATAATAGTATCCTTTATTAATTTTTATGCTTTTATTAATGTTATTCTGGAATTGAGGGTTGTATTTTGATCTGTGCTTGGTGATTATATTATATATTCTAATGTTAACTGAACAGAAAATGTTTTTAGATATAATGGATCAGTGTTATTTTATGATATTTTTTCAGGTGTAAAAACATGTTTTATCTATAGCTATCCTATTTTTATCATAGCTATAATGTTGATGACTCAATTGAAATATTCAGAAATGTTTGGAAATTTCCAGCCAACGGCTACATCGAGGGTACAGAGTTGGACGGTTTCTTGAGGGAATTCGTTTCCAGCGCCAACGTGCAGGATGTTAGCCCAGAGGTAAGCGATATTCAACAATATTAATTTAATTTAATTTTTTTTTTTCGATTTTCTTTACAATTTTTTTAATGCACAGGCAGTTTCGGATGCCATGCTAGAAGAACTCAAAGCATGTTTTATGGAGGCCTATGATGATAATCAGGATGGCAAGATCGATATCCGAGAAGTGAGTAATTGTTTCTTTTAGCTAATTATTTTTATATTTTGTAGTTGAATTAGAATTTTTTTTTAGAGTCATTTAATTAAAACAGATAATGCTCATTAGAATCTTACAACTTAATTCCAAAATTAAGTTTTTAAAAAATTAACAAGCGAATATTAATGTAGATTTATGGTCGTAAAATGAAACGAATAAAATAAAATATATAAAACATGTTTATATTTATAAAAATATTTTTTCATATTATAGGCAATAAAACTTACAATTTTCTTCATATTTTTTTATTTATGCTTTTTGTCTCTTACGTTTCGGGACAATTTTCCCATCATCAGAGTAATATTTTTATTTTTACTGAAATTATGAACATTTTCTATTTAACAATATCATTCCAATTTATCTATTTTACAATTATTTACCATTATTTTTTTTGTTGATGTGGCACCATTTGTCAAAAATATTAAAAATATTTTTATTAATCAAAATATGCTTTATTAATCTCATTACATTTTATCAAAGTGTTGGTTACTTTTCTCCATTACATATAAACAGAATGTTGAATAGTTATTATTAACAAATTCGGAAAATGAATCTAATCTCACAAATTTTAATGAATTAAATCTTTTACCATTGATGATGTAGAGATGGTTGACCGTTGATATGATATGAGAAGGAGTTAGTTGAGGGTGCGGTCAAATAAATAAAAAAATTAAAAAATATAAATAATTTTAATTTTTGCCGACGTTTCGACCCACTTTGCAGGTCGTCTTCAGGGCTACAAAAGATACAAACATGTTGAAAAAAATAAAAATAAAATAAAAAATAAATATAAGTATATATAAATTACGAAGAAGTTGTCAGATACAGAAATAAAAGATAAAGAAAATAAATACATGATAAGAAAATAGATAAAGGAAATAAATACATGAATGTTAACGAATAAATGAATGTTAACGAATAAATAGATTGAAAATTATATAACAATTACTGTAACAATTACTGTAACAATAGTTATTCAATTTTCAATCTATTTATTCGTTAACATTCATTTATTCGTTAACATTCATGTATTTATTTCCTTTATCTATTTTCTTATCATGTATTTATTTTCTTTATCTTTTATTTCTGTATCTGACAACTTCTTCGTAATTTATATATACTTATATTTATTTTTTATTTTATTTTTATTTTTTTCAACATGTTTGTATCTTTTGTAGCCCTGAAGACGACCTGCAAAGTGGGTCGAAACGTCGGCAAAAATTAAAATTATTTATATTTTTTAATTTTTTTATTTATTTGACCGCACCCTCAACTAACTCCTTCTCATAAATCTTTTACCTGTTGGGAAGTGGCCTGATGACTAAAAAATGGTAGTCGGTAGGCGCACTAATGGATCTAGGATTTAATTGTTGTTTTTTTGGGGGGGTTGGAGGGAGGGGTTCCAGCCCCAAAGCTTTATATATATATATATATAACGACTATTTCTTCGAAAGAAGAAGAAAGATCCTAACTACCTATTTGTAATGGTGTTTAAGTGATTCTTGAAGTACTATTAAATGTGAAGTCCTATTTTATGACACGAACAATAATACTTTTAGACATAATTTTTTAATATTTTGTTCATAAAACATCGTTATATTTTATCTTTTCTTTTCTTTTTCGGGGAGAGGGTTCAGCCCGAAAGTCCCTCATCCCCCAGTAGATCCGTCTGTGGGTATGCGAGAGGACTGTAGAGTAGTGCCGAAAAGGTTTGTTTCTCTTCTGGAAAAGAAGAGCATAAAGAGGAATTTTTTGGCTGCCGTTTAATAAAAGTGGAACCCAAGTTACAAGCTTTTTTTTTTACATTTACAATGACGTTGAGGTGTTCATCGATGGTCCATTTGCTAACAGAAAGTTTTCCTGCAAGTTCTCGAAGAGTTGATCAGGTATTTTATTCGACCAAAGCTCGCAGAAAATGCTTATCTAAGAAAGAAGTTCTTGTTTGACGAAAGTTGACGACCATCTCCAAGGATAAAGTGTTCCATTATAAATTATTTAAGCTGTCGTTGAATGATTGAAAGCCCTCATTCACAATGACGTCGTCTCACACTTTTTTATAAATATTTTTGGCCGTTTGGATCTTGAATGAATAAATGAATATTCTACATAGTAATACGTGATTGTCGGCCTCTGATTGGATGGTATAAAGCAACTAATTGAGGTTTAAATTGAACTCAATTAATGAAGGAATGTGTTAACGGAGACTGGAGAAGAAGAACTAACCTGGAGCTGAGAAGTCTATATAGCGACTGGTCGATGTGATTAAATTCTAGGGATTGCGATGGGCATGAAACGTAGGATGAACCCAGAGGAAATCCTCTCTAAAGAAGCTATTTCCAGCGGGGAATGTTGGACGCCCTTGGGAAGACTGCGTTGCTACCGGTGCATTATCGATACTTGGTATTCGCAAGTTGAAGGCAGCAGCACAAAACAGAGATGACTGGCGGTCAATGCTGGAGCAGACCAAGACTCATCTTGTGGGTCGTAGAACTGTAAAATAATAAATAATGAAGGAATTTCCTAAAACGTCATTAGGCCCCCCCCCCACCGATTTCTAGTTCCGTTATTTTTCATTAGCAAAAATAGAACACTTTGTTTAGAAAAACATAATTTATTCTCTCCGAGACGCAGGTTGGGATGAGTATGGAAAAAGTTTGAAATGATGATCAAACCCATTCAATTGATAATCAAACCTATTTAATTTCAAATTCAAAATATGATGATCAAATCCAATGATGAAAATTTGAAATTTTTATAACTTTAAAATGTGTAAAAACGTTCTTTGTTAAAAAAAAAAAATGTTCTTTGGGCTTTGACCTATATCAAAGTATTTTTTTCAAGCGATCACAAAGGGTTTTTATAGCAAAATTTGAATAAATCTGTTTTAGCCCTGAAATACCAGGGCACTTTATTTTTATATCGTGCAAAATCAAATGTTTCAAAACCTTTTGTTATTCAATTATAATGCTACTCATTTAATGTCTTAAATAGTATTTAATAAGTTCCTAGTTTTCAGAAGGTTTTAAAAAAACAATAAATGAAATTCGGATAATAGCTTCCAGTCATAATAGCTAATTGAAGCTGACTTAAAATTGGATTTAGGATTTATTCGTGTCAGGTTATGACAGAAAGTAGAAAAACTATTATTATTTTTTTTTATTTATTTATTAATGATATTTACAACTGTACTAAAGAAATACAGTTAGTAAATTTGAACATATGGATATAATGACGTGAAAACATTAGAAGATTATCTACATTAGGAGATCACGGGGCCATCTTTTTTTCAGACGTCTCGGAGGGTTATCAGGAATTGAAGAGGAAGCAAAGTTAGAAACGAGAGGATTGGGATGATTCTGAAGTTTATTATGGAAGAATAGGTATCTGGATTGGGCCAGAATTATGTCTTTATGTCTATTATTTCATATTATATCCTTTTTCCTTTTCTTTCAATCTCTCCTGTAGATCTGTAGAAGTATATTCACATTTGCATTTATTATATATTACATTACAACAATTGTTAGCATCTATTTACTTCAGTTTAGGATCTTGTTACTTAGCTTACTCTGTTCATATTTTAATGTACTTACTGTTTATAATTTTAATAAGCTTATTCAAATGTGTTTATAATTTTTTGTTTAAATATTATGTAACTTCCACAATTCTCTATCTTTTTGTATCTTGCCCGTTCTAGCCCTGAAGAAGACCTGCAAAGTCGGGTCGAAACTTTGGCTTTTAATAAAAATAGTTTTACCACTATTTAGCCTTTTTATGGCCGCCACTCCGGACCATCTCCTTCTTCTTTTTTTTTTTTTTTTTAATAAGCTTAAAAGATAAAATAATAAAAAAAAAAAAAAAATTGCACCTCTAACGATAACCTCTAAGACGTCTCTTGTATCGTTGTGTTAATTTCGTCTCTTCTCCGTTCTACATCGTATCAATCAATGCTGACGTTGAATCAATGATGGCTGAAGTTGGCCCTCCCCCTGCCCAAACAGGAAAACTTTTTTTTTTTTCATCGTTCGATATTGTTACATTGAGTGAGCCAAGCTAAATACTTAAACAAGGTTATATTTTCAATGCATATACAGGCACTAAATATAACTATGAAAAAAATATTAAAAATTTATTTGTTGAAGTATTTTTGTTCGTGTAATTATTTTTTTTTTTAATTGGGCTTCAAAAATCACATAACATTATTTCGTATAGGTAGTCAGCTTCTTTCTTTATCTCCCAAAATAATTACTATTATATATGTAAAAGCTTTTGGGCTAAAGCTACCCTCCCATCCCCCTCGATAATTAAATCCTGTACTGATTATCACTAAATGCGTATTGCTGTTGTTGATATCAGTCTTACCACCCCTTGTTGATGAATGAAATGGGAGTAACAGATCCGAAGATAAAAATGCTTAGAGTTTACGAACCGGAATTTAGTTGCCCTCTCTATAAACCAAGTGATATATCCATTGGAATATAATAATGCGTAAATTACATTTTATTTTTTATGATATGGAATTGAACTTAGGTGCTTAGATATGCCAAGAAACAAATAATGATCCTATATGGTTTTTCTGTTATTGAATTTGTTACAGTTGGCTCAACTTCTACCAATGGAAGAAAATTTTCTTTTGCTGTTCAGATTTGACAATCCATTGGAATCCAGCGTGGAGTTTATGAAGGTAGATAATATCTTTGTTTTTTTCTTTACCATTTTATTCAACTATGATTGTAATAATAATAAACTTTCTATTCATATATATTTAATGATAACAATATTCATATGATATTTTCAGCATTAATAGTGTAATTCTTATAATCATTGTCAAGAATCACAAGTTCGTTAAAAAATAAAAACATAATTTGATACTATAAGAAGTCCACTTTCACGTATTAATGTGTTTAGTGCAGCTATTTTTTTAAAAAATATAATTCAATTTGTGTCAGATAAAATGTAAAATTTTGATTAGTCCACAGTCAAAGATTTTTTTAAAAAAATCATCACATATTCTTTTAATATATATATTAAATATATATATTATCATATATTATTCACATATTATTGTAAATAATTTATAAGTTATGGAACAACCAGCACCCAGATTTCAAATTCCAAAATCCGTATTAATCACTTTCGAGGAAGGAACAAGTTTTAATTTCTCCGTCTTCGAACTGGACAAAACAGGTTTAACTCATACCAAGGTTAAAATTGGTTCAACTCCTTTATGTGGATGTGGAAGAGGCGAGCAACAGCGGAACACATTCTCCAGATATTTATCCCGTTGGAGGAACAACTGAACCAAAGAGGGCCTGAATCGACTGATTTGTTGACTAAGCAGTACATACTATTGGAACCAGGAGAGGGAAAAAAAGTTATCTTGAAAAAATAACTTTACAACAGCAACTTTTATTATTATTATTTTAATTGAAAATTAACATGTATTAAACAAATAATTTTGATTTATACTTCGTACTCAAAAAACAACAAATAATTTAAAAAGTCTTAATAATCATTCAATAATGTTGCTTAAAGTAGTTCTTAGAATGCTCTAATCCCTTGGAAATTATTTTTAATAGAATTTGTGAAAAATATTATTATTGGAAAATGTCGTGTTGGCAAAATACTAGACAATGTAAATAAATATATATTACTAAATTTCTCTAATCTATCTTTCAGTATGACCATACTGAATAAAAAAGTAAGATTATGCAGATAGGTCGAAAATCGAAGACATACAAATAAACTGTAGGGATATAAAACAGGATCAAAAAAGCAAATGGCATCTATTACCAGATCTGCAACACGGTCTTAGGAAAACGAGAGGTGGAAAATATAACTAAGATCAATTTATACAACACACTCTACCTTCCATACCTACTGTACGGTAGTGAAAGCTGGGTCCTTCTACAAAAGTAGACTTACCGCTGCCGAAATGAAATATCTGATAAGAGTAGCTGGCCGAACTAGAAAAGATTGCATCCGAAACGAACGGATTAGAGATAATGTTAAGGAGACACCAATGCTAGAAACCGTGGAAAGAAAACGCTCAAATGGTTCGGTCATGTTATGAGGATGGATGAGGACAGGGAACCCAGAAAATTTCTTGAGGCAAGAACCATAGAAAAGAGGCCAAGAGGACGTCCAGGGAAAACTTGGATTGACGAAATAACCAAGCTCGTCCAGAAAAGAGGCGAGCAGTTGGGTTATATGAGTGACCTGACGAGAGACCGTGATGACGGGCGTAAATGGGTCGAAGCCCCTCCACGCTGAAAGGCACTAAGGAGGAAGACAAAGAAGAAGTAGAAGACCTTTCAGTATTATATTTTAACATGGTTATTTTAATTTGGTATTAGGTCATTACATTAGTTATAATTCAATAAAATGCGTTCATTTCATTGTTTATTCTGACGTTTCAATCCCTTTTTTTTAAACAATATGGGATCCTCTTCAGTATTTTAAAAATAGATCCTCGATACTTCACGCTTGATATATAGCATTTCCAAGTCAATTTCAACCTTTTCCAAATCAAATTCAACCTTTTCCAAGTCAAATTAAACCTTTTCCATTTCAAATTCAACCTTTTCCAAGTCAAATTCAACCTTTTCCACTTCAAATTCAACTTTCTAATTTTCGTAAATTTTCGATTTTTTTCGAAATGAAGGCCACTTACTATATTATCAAAGGCATAGCTTTTGAAAAATACAAAAAAAAATTTGATAACGCGGTTGCATATCCATTTATTTTAACATTTTAGATTTTTTCAGTGTGATATTTCTATGTCATTTCCAAGTCAAATTCAACCATTTCCATTTCAAATTAAACCTTTTCCAATTCAAATTCAACCGTTTTCATTTCAAATTAATGTTTTAATTTTTTGTAAATCTTATATATTTTTTTTAAATAATGGCCATCCCCTCCCCCCCTCCAATATGAAAGTCTATTATTATGCTCTCCTAAGTAGAATTTTCACTTACGGATATCGATTTATTGTACCTATTCGGATTTATTAGGGACTAGTATCATGCTGTCCTGTACATAGTTTTGAAAATAACCCCCATTGTAAGATTAAGTGACTGCGTTTCGAATCATTTAAGTTTTTTTGATTTATTCGATATAAGGGTGTATTTTTATGTTTCCCGATCAGTAAATTTTGAAAATGACATCCATTTTATGTTTACGCCACTGTGTTTTGACTTATTTAAGTTTTTAGAATTTATCCAATATAAAGGTCTACTTTTATGTTTCTGGAGCCGTAGATTTTGAAAACGACCTCCATTTTAAGATTAGGCCACCGCGTTTCGACTTAATTGAGTTTTTCGGATATTTTTCATATGAGGGTGTATTTTTATGTTTCCGGAGCTGTAGATTTTGAAAACGAACTCCATTTTAAGATTAGGCCACCGCGTTTCGACTTATTTGAGTTTTTCGGATATTTTTCATATGAGGATGTATTTTTATGTTTCCGGAGCTGTAGATTTTGAAAACGACCTCCATTTTAAGACTAGGCCACCGCGTTTCGACTTATTTGAGTTTTTCGGATATTTTTCTTATGAGGGTGTATTTTTATTTTTCCGGATCTGTAGATTTTGAACATGACCTCCATTTTAAGATTAGGCCACCGCGTTTCGGCTTATTTGAGTTTTTCGGATTTTTTTCATATGAGGGTGTATTCTTATGTTTCCGGAGTCGTAGATTTTGAAAATGACCTCCATTTTAAGATTAGGCCACTGCGTTTCGGCTTATTCAAGTTTTTCGTATTTATCCAATTTAAAGGTCTACTTTTATGATGCCGGAGCCTTAGTTTTTAAAACGACTTACATTTTAAGATTAGGCCACTGTGTTTCGGTTTTTTTAAATGTTTTTGATTTTTCCTTCGAATAAAAAACAAAATACGAAGGATTAATTTATTTTTCAATAAATAAATAAAAATATCTAATCAAAATAAATAAAATATGTATTATCTCATTTTTAATTTAATTTTAGTTATCTTTTTTAATGTTGTGGTCTCCTGTCACAAAATTATAAGATTTCGAACAATTAGCTGAAAAATCTGAATACGAAAGGTTAAATTTATTACCAGCTGCTTTTCGGCTTTTTAGTTTGTATTCTGTGGTTAATTTAACTTTAGCTTCATAATATTTATTTATTTATTCATACTTGAAAACATATTGATGAAACTTTGTATTGAAAAAATCCAAAATGAAGCCTAATTATTCGAGATGCAGCGGCCTAATCATAAAATGGAGCTTAAATATTAGATAAATTTAAATATTAAAGATTAGAAAAATTTCAATACGTCTCGGATAACATATAAGTAGATCCTTATACCGAAAAAGTAAAAAAAAAAACTTTTATAATCCAAAACACAGTGGCATAAACTTGAAATTGGGCCATTTACAAAAACATAAAATTAGACCTTTATACTTGTTAAATTCTAAAAACTTAAATAAGTTGAAACGCAGTGGCGTAATCCTAAAATAAAGGTCATTTTCAGAATCTACGGTTCCGAAAACATAACAGTAGACCTTTAAATTGGATAAATTCGAAAAACTTGAATAAGCCGAAACGCAGTGGCCTAATCTTAAAATGGAGGTCATTTTCAAAATCTACGACTAAGGAAACATAAGAATACACCCTCATATGAAAAAAATCCGAAAAACTCAAATAAGTCGAAACGCGGTGGCCTAATCTTAAAATGGAGGTCATGTTCAAAATCTACAGATCCGGAAAAATAAAAATACACCCTCATATGGAAAATATCCGAAAAACTCAAATAAGTCGAAACGCGGTGGCCTAATCTTAAAATGGAGTTCGTTTTCAAAATCTACAGCTCCGGAAACATAAAAATACACCCTCATATGAAAAATATCCGAAAAACTCAAATAAGTCGAAACGCGGTGGCCTAATCTTAAAATGGAGATCGTTTGCAAAATCTACAGCTCCGGAAACATAAAAATACACCCTCATATGAAAAATATCCGAAAAACTCAAATAAGTCGAAACGCGATGGCCTAATCTTAAAATGGAGGTCGTTTTCAAAATCTACGGCTCCAGAAACATAAAAGTAGACCTTTATATTGGATAAATTCTTAAAATTTAAATAAATCAAAACACAGTGGCGTAAACATAAAATGGATGTCATTTTCAAAATTTACTGATCGGGAAACATAAAAATACACCTTTATATCGAATAATTCAAAAAAACTTAAATAAATCAAAACTCAGTCACGTAATCTTAAAAAGGGGGTTATTTTCAAAAACTACTCATACGATAACAGACCCACACATCGGAAAAGTAAAGATAATTAAATAAATAAAAAAAGGTTGAATTTGAAATGGAAAAGGACTAATTTGAAATGGAAAAGGTTGATATATATATATATATATATATATATATATATATATATATATATATATATATATATATATAACTTACGATCGTCTGAACAGGAAAGAATAAAAAAAAGAAAGAAAGGATAGCAAATAACACACTCGGTTGCTCGGTAAAGACTGACTTTATTCTCTCCGTAATGCTATATATATAGCATTACGGTTTGTTTGTACTTTACAGATAGGATTAAATATTATATTGTCTTACATCTAACCATAACTTATATATATATATATATATATATATACACAAACACATGTTTGGTGGATGGAATTAACCTGTTTCGCAACTGCTCCCACCCCTTCTAAGAGCATTCATAGATCGGCCACTGGCATTACGGCAACCTGGAGGTTCTCAAGAATACCACCGACTTTATACTGTCATTCTCTGAATTCGCCATTACAGTGCGAAGAATGATGAAGAAAAAGTTATGGATTCTTTCCAAGTTTCCGGAGTGATTTCAAATTCCATACGGGTGAAGGTACGACACACGAAAAGGGACCGACTTTTCATACATAAGATTACGGGTTCGAGTACAGCTGTGGCAGGTAATTATTTATTCTGTTACGTCAGCCTTGAATCGCGCCTAGAGACCTTTCTGGGGCAAACCAAGCCTCTGCAATGTGAGTACTATTAATTAAGTGAGAAATACCAGGCGATTGAGCATGATCCCGGCCCAATCACCGCCATCCATAACTGTTTTCGTTGAAAAAGTACTCTCTTACAAAGTACTAAACCGTAGACCCTTTATAGGTTGTAGTGATACTAGTTCTTATTTATTTATTTATTTTTATTGTTTTAAAACTCTTACTTCATTCTTCTTTCTTATTCTTATTACTTCAGTTTATTATTATCAAGTATTTGTACGACTTGATATAATTTCATTGAAGTTACATTTTGTGGCATGAATGCAATATAGATAAATAATAATTAAAACTAACACCTCGACCACAATGTAGTAGAATCATAAAATTAGAATAGAATAAATTAAATTATGCTTGAAAAATTATTTTAACAGATTATGCTTACCATCATAATTATGTCATTAAATTGTAATTTTCAAAATCATTTTATTCAATTATGATTATTATTATAATCAGTTAATTAAACTGAGATTTTTATCATAATCCATTAATTGAATTATAGTTTTATCATAATCAGTTAATTAAATTATACTTATTATCATAATCATCATATTAAATTGTACTTTTATTATAATTATCAGTTAATTAAATTGTGTTTATAATCATAATAATTTTATTTAATTATGCTTTTTATCATATTAATTTTGTGTTTTTGTTATTATATTGAATTCTGTTTAGTACCATAACCAATGATTAAATTAGGCAAAACAAATTTTACTGAAAATGAATTTTCAGGCAAGACATAAATGATTTTTATATTTAAATATCATGAATTTTTATTTTCAGATATGGAGAGAATACGATATGGACGGTAGTGGTTACATAGAAGCTGACGAACTAAAGGTAATTAATTCAAATAGATATTTTACCTAACTCTATTTAATCATTTTTCGATAATTTATTTTAAATTTTCATAGAATTTCTTGAGAGACCTCCTAAAAGAAGCCAAGATCAATGATGTAAGTGAGGACAAGCTCATCGAGTACACAGACACTATGGTAAGTCTCTATCACTGTAATAAAAAAAAAATTAAATTAAATTAATGTTTAGCCTAAAATGCTTCTTTCAACCATAGGCGCAGAATTCAGAGGGGAGAGGGAGAGCTCGCCAATAAAAATGAAAAAAGGCGAGAATATCGTTCCCTCACCCCTCAATATTTCGAAGAACACAAAAAAAAATCAAAATTATCAATAATTAATCTGCATAAATGAGTGCATACATTAATATACAAATTAGAAAAAAAACAAAAAATTATAGCTATTATAACAAATGGAACTCATGTTATGGATTAATTTATAAAGTTATAAATTCGTAACTTTTATTTATAATGGAAAAAAATTGTTTATTTACTTAATGGTTCATGACCATTTTTGGCTTTTATTGGCTAAACGTCACTTATGGTAAGCGTTATGCCGCCGTAATTTTCATAGCTATAAATATCTCAGTTGGACATTTAGAATCTCTAGGATCTCTCTTTTCTATTTAACACATTAAAATTGAAAAAAAAAAAAAAACTTTTTTACACTACTTATGGACTACCAGAAATTCAATTGTTCTACTACTGATGGACAGGGGGTCGGTAATGGACATACCCCAGAAAAATTCTAAGATCTTTTTCCTTTTTCTTTTTTCTGGGAAGTTGTCTATTTATTTTTAGTTATTTGGCAATAATAATTTCCAATTGGTAACAATTGAGTATATTTCTATATTGGTAACAATAGAGTCAGATCCAAAGGTCAATGTTTTCACTATGGCAGACACCCAATTATTGTCAAAAGCAGGATGTTGCTCTAGATGATACATTTTAGAACATGAATTAGAAATTTGACGATGGAGCACATTATTATTAAATTTAAGCCTTGCATCCACAAGAGTATTGGGATTGCAGTTCCGAAGATGGGAATAAATATCCCGAAACGTCAACGAACTTGTTAACATGTAACGTTGATAATAGAAATATACTCAATTGTTACCTATTGGAAGTTATTATTGCCAAATAACTAAAAATCTAAGATCTTTATTAAACTATAAAAACCTATAATTATTGCTCAATTGGTCAGTTAGTAAACTATTGGTACAATATCGTGTTTATTTATCGTAACGTTTGTTTTATTGTTAAATTGTATTTGATTGTTATAATTATTATTGTTTAAATTAAATTTCTTATTTATTAGATTTATGAGGTATTAATGTTTGTTTTTTTAACATTCTTAAAAAAAAATGAAACAGTGAAAGAAGAAATTGCTAGAATGGATGTATAAATACATAATAATACTGCAGATATATTATTACTCATATATTTTAGTTATAAATGTAATGAATATTTAATATTAATTACTCACAGACCTCGACAGACGGAAATTTCCATCGTCTATGTATTGTTGCTTTTATATATATATATATATATATATATATATATATATATAAAAGCAATTGTATGTATTTTTTAAAGTATAATAAACACGTTTTTATTCATTCAATTAGAATACTCTGTATTTAAAAAAAAATAAAATACTCAGAGCTCTCTATGCTGACTGTAAATATTGTAAATAAGTATGGATGCGTTTAATGATGTATTATACTTTATGTAATTTTATTTCAATTTTTCACTTTAATTTTAATAAATTGTTAAACTTTATTTAACTATCCACTGAAAATATCAATTCTTTAAGATTAATTTTTATGTTCTTTTAGCTACATATTTGCTTTTCTTGTATAGGTATGAGTCAGTCATATGTAATATAGCTCTAGTACGTATTGCCAATTAATGTGGCATAGAATATACTATCTTTGAATAAATGGATTCATTGATTAGTAATATAAATATAAATGGTTGGAGCTAAAAAAAAAAGAAGATTTTTGTACTCCGTATATGATTTCATAATGGACATCATCAGGGCAGAGTGATGATCAATTAGGTTTCGTAGGGTAACTTTAAGCCTAATTCATAAATGAATATTGTTTGTCAGAATTTTCAGAATGATGGGAAGTGGTATCATCTTTTAAGTTTTTTTTTTCATATATATCGAGTGGTGGAGGGTGGTCTAAATATTTCTTGTGTTCAGCGAAATTTCTAGCTATTATTTCTGGGTCAGCTGAATATTTATTTTTTAATATTATTGATTTTAGTTGGACAATAGTTAGAAATGTACCTATGTTATGTAGATTGTCTCCTTTCCCCCATATGTACAATATGTAATACATTTAAGTTTTTTTTCTTCATATATTTTTAAACACGTATAATGCTTATGGATCATTATACAAAATCCCTCAGCTATACAAACATAAGTTTATTTGTAAATATTCAATATTATGTTTGTTTCTAATAATTATGTTTAATTTTTAAACATAATATAAACTGTAATAATATTTTTAAACATATATCTTTTTTTTTTGTCCATTGTCCCACAAAATCAAAATCGAAAGTCTGCGACTTTGATTAAGGGAATCTTTCAGTTTTGCTTTGTCTTTCGAGAAATAGCTGAGGTCATTTTCAAAATCTACGGCTCCAGAAACATAAGGATACACCCTTATATGGAAAAAATCCGAAAAACTAAAATAAGTCGAAATGTAGTAGCTTGATCTTAAAATGGAGGTCGTTTTCAAAATCTACGGCTCCGGAAACATAAGAACACACCGAATGGAACAAAATATTATATGGGAAAAATCCGAAAAATTTAAATCAGTCGAAATGCAGTGGCGTAATCTAAAATAATCTAATGGAGATTATTGTCAAAAACTAGGCAAACGATAATATAATAATAGACCCTTGTATCGAACTTAAATCAGACTAGGTATTAACCTAAATACCTATCCCTTATATTAACTTAAATCCGAATAGTTACAATAAATCGATATCCGTAAGTGTAACATAAAATCGATAGTATTTTGAAAAACTCTACTTAGGGGAGCATAATAATAGACCTTCATATTGGGAGAAAAAAGACCCTTATTTCGAAAAAAATGTACGAAAATCCGAACTTTTCAATTGAACTATGACCTAAGTAATTTAACTAATTTAGAAATTATATTGATGATTTAAGGGATGTATGGTGTTATTTAATTAATTAGGTACTGATTTTAATTCAAAAAAATTATAGGGATCAATTGTAGAAAATATCTGAAGATGGCCTATTAGTCGACGCGTCATGGAAATTGAAATATGCCTAATAATAATAATAAATAATATAGATAGATATAGATATTATATTTAATAATATAGATCTTTTCCAAATAAAATTCAACCTTTTCCAAGTCAAATTAAACCTTTTACATTTCAAATTCAAGCTTTTTCAAATTCAATCTTTTTCATTAATTCAACTTACGAAATTTTGTCAATTTTCGAAATGAAGGCCACTCATTATATTATCGAAGGCATAGCTTTTGAAAAATAAAAAATAAATTATGATAACGCGGTTGCATATCCATTTATTTTTATTTTTTAGATTTTTTCGGTATAATATTTCCATGTCATATTCATTTTTTTCCAATTCAATTTGAACCTTTTCCAAATCAAATAAAACATTTTCCAAGTCGAATTTATCCTTTTCAATTTCAAATTAAACCTTTTCCAATTAAAATTCAACAATTTCCATTTCAATTGAAAAGTTCGGATTTTCGTACATTTTTTTCAAAATAAGGGTCATTTTTCTCCCAATATGAAGGTCTATTATTATGCTCCCCTAAGTAGAGTTTTTCAAAATACTATCGATTGTATGTTACACTTACGAATATCGATTTATTGTGCCTATTCGAATTTTTGTTTTATTTTTTTTTATTTTATTGATGATATTTACAACTGTATTACAAGTAAAAATACATTCAGTAAATGTGAACAAAGGAATAAAATAGCATGAAATCACATGTTGAGAAAATACCCATTGGTAGCACTCTAAAAATGTATTTAAAAAAGGAGATCTCGAGGCCATCTTCTTTTCAGACGCCTCTGAGGGTTGTCAGGGATCGAAGAGGAAGCAAGGTTAGAAACAAGAGGGTTTGGATGGTTCTGAAGTTTGTTATGGAAGGATAGGTATCTGGATTGGGCCAGGTCAGAAACATAAGGAACATTAAGGTCGTTATGGATGATTTTGTTTGTGACAAAGTAAGGAGCAGTGAGGATTTTACGAAGGATTTTGGATTGTAAGGATTGAATACGAGAGGAATTCGATGGCTTAGTGGAGCCCCAGAGCTCAACTCCGTAAGTCCAAATAGGTCTTATTGTAGTCATGTATATGAGTCTTTTGTAATTGACTGGGAGGTTAGAGCGTTTGCCTAGTAAGTGCTGGAGTTGTCGGAAACGTCGAGCTGTTTCTTGTCGTTTCATTCTGGTATGAGGATTCCAAGTTAGACGTTTTTCTAAGTGGAGTCCAAGGTATCGAATTTGTTCAACAGGGATAAGTGGGGTATTATTAAAGGATATTTTAGGACAAGAGGACATAGGCTTACGACGAAGGGTAAAGGTGATTTGATGGGATTTATTGGAATTTATTTTTATTCTCCAGTTTTGACACCATTCTTCAAGGTTTGTGATGTGTGATTGAAGGGTTTGGGATGCAATTGTCGTTATTAACAGATAGGACACATGTATCATCAGCATACGTGGTAATGACTGTGTTATGGTGGGTTGGGATATCAGGTGTATAAACTGTGTAAAGGATAGGACCTAGGATACTACCTTGAGGAACACCAGCGGACTGGGAAAAAAGGGATGAACAGGCATTATTATGATTTACTTTGAAGGATCTATCAGTAAGATAGGAACGGATAATGAGGAAGTATGTAGGGTGTAGGAATTTAGGGAGTTTGTAAAGCAGTCCTGGGTGCCAGACTCGATCAAAAGCCTGTTCTACATCGAGAAAGACTCCCGTGCAGTACATTCCGCGCTCCAATGCAGAGGAGACAACATCCACCACACGATGGCATTGCTGGATAGTGGAATGGGATCTGCGGAATCCAAATTGATGATCTGGGATAATGTGATTAGAATCTAGGATGGGGT